AACCCCCAGGCGCCGGTGCAGGGGAGGGGCTGACCTGCAGGAAAGCAGCTCCACAGAGAAGGACCTGGGAGTCCTGGTGGGCAGCAAGTTAACCATGAGCCAGCAGTGTGCTCTTGTGGCCAAGAAAGCCAATGGTGTCTAGCAGTGTGCTAAGAAGGTGGGCAGCAGGTTGAGGGAGGTTCTCCTCCCCCTCTGCTCTGGTGAGGCCACATCTGGAGTATTGTGTCCAGTTCTGGGCTCCCCAGTTCAATAGAGACAGAGTCCAACAGAGGGCTACAAAGATGATGAGGGGACTGGATGATCTCCTGTATGAAAGGCTGAGAGACCTGGGTCTGTTCAGGCTGGAGAAGAGAAGACAGAGAGGATCTTATCAATGTTTATAAATACCTAAAGGGTGAGTGTCAAGAGGGTGGGCCCAGTCTCTTTGCAGTGGTGCCCAGTGACAGGACAAGGAGCAACAGGCACAAAGTGGAACACAAGAATTTCCACTTCAATATAAGGAGAAACTTCTTTACTGTGAGAGTGACAGAGGCCTGGAGCAGCTGCCCAGAGAGGTTGTGGAGTCTCCTTCTCTGGAGACTCTCAAAACTTGCCTGAACACGTTCCTGTGCAGCCTGCCCTAGGTGAAGCTGTTTTGCCATGGGGGCTGGTCTAGAAGATCTCCAGAGGTCCTTTCCAACCCCTGCCATTCTGTGATTCTGCAAATTTATGGTTCATAGCAAAAGCAGGCCTGTTTATGATGATTAGAGCCAGTATGACTATGCCAGACACAAATTAAGTTCTCTGTGTCCCTCAGTAACGTATTTCACACCCAGACTGGATGCTCATCCTCCGCATTCCATCCTTCACATGCCTCTGTCCACAGTGTAGGTGTTTTCTGCTGTTTCTGCTAAATATGGAGAGCTGCAAGCTATAGGGCTCTATCTTGAGTTTATGATGGACAGAAAACCAATATTTCTGTAACAAAATGCCCAAGATTGGATTAACTGTTAATCACTTTGGGGTATTAGTTACACTTGGGACAAACAGACTAAGCATATCCCTGAGACAAGCTGAATTAAATTGGCCTGGATAGAGTAATAACAAGTTTCAAACCATGGCCATGCCCGTGTAGCACTCAGCAAGGCACCTTTTCTTGGTTCTAGATCATTCTGTTTGTTTATCTGTGCCAATAGCTGCCAGTATTTTTAAACCCATGCAAATGCCAACTGTCTATTTTAGTTTGGTGTAAGTCCTCCTCTGCAGAAGCCTTCTGTGCATCCTTGTGTGGGGTTTTCTGCTGTGCCACTGGAAATGAGGGGCTGTCAGGTGTCTGTCAACTCATTTAGCACCTAGATTCAAAGCTTCAAAGAAGAGAAGAGAAAAAAGGCAGCAGCTGAGGTGCAGGTGACAGCCCTCAGCAGAGAGGAAGCCTAGGCACCTGCAATTCTTTTTTCTACAAGTAATAATCCTTTTTTGGTTATTATTTTTTTGTTTGTTTGGTTTTGTAATTATAAGCTTTACAAAGAACTTATTTATTGTATTTATTGTAACAGATTATGTGAAGCAGCAAAGCTAATACTCTTAAGGTTTCTTTGAGGAGTTTTTTGGGGAGTTTTTTTCTCCTCTCCATATGCTCCTCTGTCTCTCCTCTTCCAGGCAGAAACTGCACAGCCTCCCCATCTGACCTGTTAGTCCTACATTTGTCATGCTGTGCATTTCCTTTTTTTCCTGCAGTGCAACCTTCTTCTGGAAATGAAACCAAGACAAGCTGGGAAATAGAATTAAATGCTGCAATTCAGCCAGCAACAGATACTGGTGTGCTCTTTGCTCTGGTGACAGAAGCAGCCTCTGTCCCTTTATCCCTCTCCCTGGTTGACTATCACTCCACAAAGAAACTGAAACAACAGGTACAGACTTCAGCATTTTTCTAGAGAAGGTTCCTTGCTATTTCCTGGCAACTGAAAGATATTTTCAAAGAACCATTGGCAGGTTTGCTGCCTGCCTGCTTGTGCCCCCAGCAGTTCAGAATGTGGGCTGAGGTGCTTGGCCAACACCAAAGTTCTGCTTCTGGGTATGTGTCAAATGCAACTAGGGAGCTCTTTGCAAATGGGGTGTGGGTAGAAGATGGAACTGGTCTCTTGAATGCAGGCATTTTATTGTGTTGGGCTGGCACAGCAGCTGCTTAAAGCCATAGGCAAAAGCATTTCTGTTCTCTAGAGCTCATCAGTAACAGTCCCAAGTAGTCCAAAGCAGTCAAGAGAGAGGCTTCAGGTGTCACTCCAGGCCAGTTACATTGGAGTGCTGAAGCTGCTGATTTAATAGTGTTCATAATAAAAGGCTGGGTTGTGGCATTGCACGAGTGACCATCAGGAATGATTTCACTAAAGCCCATGAGCCAGCTTTTCACTTGCAGCACAGCAGCTGGGTTTGGTTCTAGTGGACTGTAACAACTAAGAACTCTGTCTGAGAAGACAGTGGTTACAACTGACAATCATCAGTCCCACTGGCTCCTTGTTTTTTCATCTGTGCACATGAGTTGAGAACACAGTCAGCCATAATAATAAGGCTAATTACCTAGTGGCTCTGTAAAACCTTTGTGACCAAGGCCACAGTGGGGTCATGCTGGTGATGGAGAAGTGTGGCTAGGTGAATTTCTGCTCACTGCCTCTTGTTTCTCCTTTCCCCTGCTGTCCAGTTTGTCATCGTGGCCTTGGAAAACAGAGTGGTGTCCAGACTGGCAGTAGAGCTCTGTGACAAGAAGGAGCATGCTGTGGACATCCTCCTCAAGAAAGATCACCTATCCCTGAGGGTAGATGGCATAGAAGGAGAGAGTGAGCTGAGCATCTCTGAGTTAGAGGACAGCCTGTCCATGCTGGAGAGCTCTCTGCAGTCAACAACCAAGACATACGTGGGAGGATTGCCAGGTGAGCATCCAGGTTTGTCTGTAGATGCCCAGCTCACCTTGCTGAGCTGGCAGGCAGGAGAACTGTCTCCATTCCTTCAAGCTGGGAGCCTCCTCCTTTGTTTCTGCTTCAGTAGGCTTTGTCTGCAACGTGGGCACATGATCTTAGATGTGAGGGTGTGCTTGACAATTCTTTTATTTTTCTTCAATGATTGTGTCCTTCTGAGGACAGTTGGAAGCAAAAACCTCTTTAGGAGGTCTCAGCTGGTAGGAACAATTAGCTATAAGCAGGGTCCTTGTCTTCAACCTGATAAGATCCATAGGAGCTGGACCACAGGTTACTACAGTGCTTCATTAATGTAATGAACATGTGTGAGCACTCCTTGAGAAGAATTCCAGGGCCAACACTGAAGCTTGGGGAGCTAAGGGTGGTGATTGTTCCTGGCTGATGTTCTCTCTGAACTGATCACAGCACTACACAATTAACAACTTTCCTCCCAGCAGAGATGATGTAGAGCACAACCCAGGGGCTACCACTGTGTAGAGTTGCTGGCTTTTCTGAAACAACAGGGCTTCCACATCAGTTTGCCCCTCTGTTCTGAACCTGGAAGATGAAACTTTCATGTGAAGCATGGATTTTATCCAGGTTTGGGGGTTTGTGTCTTATTCTGGCTGAACTGGTCCCTACTGCTGAGGAATGCAATTAAGGAGACACTTCTGTCCCTGATGCACAGCAGTACAGCCAATTTTACTGCCAGCAGCTAAGCAAAATCTTGCCTTTACTTGCCCAAGCAAGGGAGAGCCTGCAAGGTTGGCTCTCATGAAGCAGTCAGGCTGAAACAGGGTGCCTGAGGTGCCATGTGTTGTGGCTGTTCCCACCATCACCATGAGTCTATGGAATATTTATGCCAATGATGTAAATGCCTCTTAGTTACACCTAAAAAGTGGAGGCCACACACTCTGGGGTGTCCATACACTGGCAGGAACAAAGCTGTGGCATTTTCCAGCATCAGGGTGAATTGTTCCAGCAAGAGAGGTCACCTGCTCTCTGTCAGGTAGCTCTCAAATGCACAGCAGAGACTTGCATGGCTCAGAAAATGATCCCATTCTGGCCCAGGGTCTCTGTGCTTCACTCAGACTGTTTTAATGAGGCAGAACTCAGTGTGAGATCCCATAACCATGGCTGTTGAGACCCAGCTGACTTCTGTAGGTTTAGCTGCTTTCCCCCTTCCATGGGCTCTGCTCAGCAGCTGGAGGTTCTGCCTGTGGTTTGCTTTTGCCATTGAGAGGAACCCAGCTCTTGTATTGAGTAATGTTGTAATTTGCCAAAAGAATGAACATTTCAGCACTTTGCTTGGACTCATCACTCTGGGTTCAATAACCAGACCAAGTGGTCAGATCTGAGGGAGTTTGGCTCATTCAAATTTTGAAAACATCACATCTCCTACACCCTGGGGAAAAACCCAAATTATAGTGGCCACACTTAAATGTCTTTATTCCATTTGTCATGAATAAAGAATTCTGGGCCAAAATATGTCCCATCCTAAGTAAAACTATTATTGCAGATGTGGAAGAAATGTTATTTAGAGTTTCAAGAGATAAGAGAGAACATTTAGGGTTTTATTACCTTTCCTATGGTACTTTCAGTTCTGGTAAATCCAGATTTGCAGTTATAACACAAAGAAAATATGGGGGGGTTTTAAATTATTTTGGTTCATGTCATACCATGTGAAAGCCCAGGCTTTGGTGGCACACTTAATAGCAATCTGCATGATTATTTAGATGAGTGTTCAAGCAATTAAGCCAACACTTCAGCTTCTTCTGAGTCAAGGTGGAGTTTATGTTCATGCAAAGTCTACAACACAGGTGCTGCTTTCTTTTAAGCAGACTTCAGAGATAAAATGGTCAATGGGGAGGAAGAAAAATCAGCTAAAATTATTGGTTTCAGCAATGGCACTTGTCAGCCAGGAAGCTGAAAAAATATATAGCATCTCTTTGTGGATTACAGCCCCCCCTAAATGTCCTTTCTCCTGCACAGCCCTGCAGTGAGTCTGAGCTGGGTTTGATCACACCAGATTCACATTTCACCCTGTGTGTCTCCAGGCAGAACCCATTAAACTCACATAATCTCAGGTCAGCAGGACAACCCATTGTTCAAGTTGTCCTTGCTTTGGTGTAAAGATAAGGGGTTTGCTTAGCTGCCTGCATCATGGAGAAGTTAAATAATCTTTGGGACTGCTTTCCATTGCAAAACCAGCTTGGCTTTGGGTGGTAAATAAACCAATAACCTTTGGGTGAGGGTAGAGGACACAGTTCACATGGATTTTCATGTTACTGTGTTATTGTGTGGGGTTTTTAACTTTAAAGTCAGTGTTTATATGATGTTACAGAGGAGAGTAATAAGATTATCTGTTTCCTCTAGTCTGTTGGATTGTATTCAGCATCTTCTTCCTTGCTGTTTGTTTTCTGCCTCTTACCAGCTCAGCTGGTGTATTCCAGCACCTTTCTGAAGCATGCCAGCAACCTCCTTCTGCTGATACCTAATGGCATAATTGCAATGAAGTGGAGTCCAGCAGGTGGTAGAGGCTGCAGATAGGAGGGGACCTTCCAGTCAAGAAGTTTCCTCCTGTAAGCTTTAGGCAGCTATTTTGAAGAGAGGGAGGGAGAGCATTAGAGGGAGGGATAGCAGCTTCACTGCTGACAAAGCAGAGGGTCCAGAGGTGGAAGGGGCAGGGGGACATCGAGGGGGACAGCACCTGAACACAGCCTGCAAGTGGAGTGAGGACGGGGAGGTAGAAAGCCTGGAGTGGAGGAGCACTGGAATCCATGGAAGCATCAGTCACCTGAGCACAGGTAGGGCAAGTATCTGCTCCAAACCATCCCCAGAGATGTCTGTCTCTCCTTGCACACAGATGTTCCTGTCACTGCCACGCCGGTCACCGCCTCCTACCACGGCTGCATGAGCATCATGCTGAGCAGCAAGGCGCTGGACCTGGACGAGGCTCTCTACAAGCACAGTGACATCACCTCCCACTCCTGTCCTCCAGCTGAGGCAGGTCAGTAGGTACCACTGCAAGGCAGAAGTTTTATACCCAGAAACTTTCAAGGCTTTTCTTTTGTTGTGTTTGTTTTTTTAAAGATATAAATTATTCAGACCTCCCGCACTGCGTGGATAGTTTCTCTTCAACACTGAAGTGATGTAGAAGCTACTGATCCTTATCTCAGATTGATTATTGAAATGCTCCTTTGCTTTGAGGTTTAAAGGTTGTAATATATTTGTAAATAGTTCAGAAGACTAATGTTAAATAAGCCCCAAGTACAGAATATTCTGGAAGTGAATGTTATCTTTAGACTGGAAGAGACAGTTTTATCTGTAACGTGGGAAACCTGGTAATATATGAGTGTGGACTGGAAGAAAAAAATAATAATTCTGTATTATTTTTGATTACCAAACACTGCTTGATTTGCAAAATACGAGAGAATAAAATATTTACATACAAGTTTTTAATTCACCTGTACTGAGATTATTCTGTATTCTCTTTGGAGATGGTGACTCAGGCTATGCCTGTTGTGGAGGTTACACCAGTGAGTGTTTTTTGGCTTTGGTTGGTTTGTTTTTGTGTTGGGAGGTGGAGGGTTTTATGTGCTAATGTCAGTATTATGTATCTTTTGGACTGGAGAGCAAATGACTGCTGCTATTCTTATGGCTGGAGTTTCTGGTACCACAGATAGAAGACTCAGTTGTGACCTTTAGAAAAAAACTCCTGGTCAACAGAAAATGGAAAACAAACTTGGGTCAGCAGGGAACAATTAGAAGAAAAGCTTCAATAAATTGAAAGCCATATGGCTTTGGTGTCAATAACTGCTGAAGCAAATGATGAGGTGTCAAGAGCTGGGGAATATTATGTGGCAATGACATATTTCTGCTGCTTAATTTTTTAGGTTGGCTCGTTTACTCTGAGCCTAGAGGGAGCAGAGAGGCTTGAGAGTGTGAGAGTGAGCCAGGCTGAATTGCAGTGTGGTGAGAATATGCCTTGGGGTTTGCCTGGGACAGGCTGTAGGGCCAGAAAGCACATTCAGCTTTTAAGCTGTCCTTAAAATTGGGGTGGGCTTTGCCTAGGCTGCTCTGAGTCACTTAAACCTGGCTTTATTTGCTCCTGGTCTTGCATCAGGTTAATGAACTGAGATAGGTGAGTGCTCTGGTGGGAGTCTGAATACTGCCTGGCTAAGGTTACCCCATGCTTCAGAGGGTTAATGTGGGAAAGGTCTAATTCTACAAGGTTTTATCAATTGTTCCTGCTCATTCAACTTCATGTTTTGCCTAATCAAATACTGAGATGACAGATTAGCCCAATAATCCAAGTGTGACAACATCTGTGGCCAAGCTGTGGAGATACAACCCTCCCAGAGGACAGAATGGAAGGGGGTGGAGGCTGTTCCAAATGAATGAGCAGGTAAGGATCCCTGCTTTATTTAGCAAAGAAGAGGAAAGTACTTTCTTGACAGCACAGCTCCATGTTGTGACCAGATCAGTCAAGCAGTGAGGCAGCAAGGACCAGAGCTTGATCCCATTCAACCAACCTGCTCATTTACACTTACAGAAGGACCTGTCAGAAGACTTTACACTCAGGTGTGAACAGATTCAAGTTTCACTAGATAATAGTAACTTGTTGGTGGAGTGTGCATGGATAGGAGAAGCCAGAAGCAATCCCCTGGGGTTGCTTTTTTTTATTGAGCATGGGAAAACGTGTTCTTCCTGAGAGTGCTTTCTGTTAGAGCTGATAACTCAGGATTGTGGTGTGATGGAGAAGCCAAGAAGCTGGGGCTGGTATCTCCAGTGAGAGCCAGGAATCCAGGAGGTCCTGTGGTTGATAACAGCACTCTGCAGTGTTGTGTTTTCTGTGTGTTCTCAAAGGTTATTTTAGTCCTTTACCAAAAATACACGTCCCATCTTTTTGACTTGGAGCTCTAATGAAAAGAGTACAAACTTGGAAGATACCTATTTTTCAAACCAGGTAGATAAATCCTCTTTTACTTTGTCCTTTTCAAAGGAAGCACGTTAGCAAAATATCTTATGCCTGGAATTTCTGTCTAATTTCTGTGGTGGTTCCCAAAAAGCTGCCACATGGCACAAATGAATCACAAACAGGTCTGACCTTTGTGTTAATGTTAGTGGTACTGTTTATGAGACCAGGATTATTTTGGCTCCTGGAAGCATGAATCCTGTGGTAGGTACAGTATGGTACACAGCAGTTTCAGACTTAATATTAGGTGAGCATGGCTGTAATTCCAATTTTCTAAAGCAATTTAATTCAGAGCAAATATTTCTCCAGGACTTTGCATAGGTATGTGAAGATATTTTGCATAGACCACAGTGTGCCCCGACCCAAAATGTGAAGATAAAGCCATAATTTTTAAGTCTGGAGAATGACAGAAAAAGGGGTTTTCTTTTATATCAAGGTGGTTTTCATACCCTACAGCCATCCCATGCTGGAGGAGGCAGCTGCTTCTATATAGAAGAATATATATTCTTCCTATTTTCAGAGGAAAGAAGTGACCAGCATTCCTCCACTCCTCCTCACTCACTGTGCTGCAAGCCAAGAAAAACACTGATTTCATTTTTCTTCTAGCAGTCTAGGTGCTGAACTCAAAGGGATTAAGTCTGTTCTGGGCTCTGAGTCCCCAGAAGGAACCCAGGAGGTTCCCCTGGGAGTATTCCCAGCAAGGAAAAAGAAGTCAACACGTATAGAATCATAGAATCCTTTAGGTTGGAAGTGACCTTTAAGATCATCAAGTCCAACCATTGAGCCATTAGGGCTCTAAAGTCCTCTGCTAAACTTATTCCATGGTCAGGGTGATTGTGCTCTGCAGAGCATGCAATTACACCAGAACTAAAGGATTTTGGTTGTGCTAAATTAATCTTTAAAGGAAAAAATGGAATCCTTTCTGATTTCTGTTTCTTTCAACCAGATTGATCTATCTCACCTTGTCAATAATCCACACTGATCTCATGTTAACACCACTGGCCTAAAGCTTTGCCTCTCAGAAAAACCTTAATTGAACAAAATATGGCTTTCAGAGTCCATATAAATTAGTCTCTGATCTTCTGTGTGTTAGCACTGAATCTGCTTTATATACAGAGGTACAATACATGAATTAACAGAAATTTCTTGAAAGGTGGAAAGTATTATGTAAAAAATGATCCCTCTTTGTTCTATTTTCAGCTGGTCTGATGGTGTCACTTCCTCTCAAAGGAAGCTGGTTTTGTTTATATAGCATTTTTAAATCTTTTCATAATATGAAGCAGCTGGTTAAAAAGTTAATGAGCAATACCTTCCTCACCCTGCTTTGCTCTTTGGAACTTGAGGAAATAATTCCTATAGCTTCACTGCTGTCTGGGCTGTGAGATCTATAGAGCAAGCAGCACCACCACCCTTCCTGCAGGAGCAACAGGCAGTGAAGGGCTGGAGCAGCCTGATGGGTTTTCATGCTGGTGTAGCCACTCCTGCCCCAAAATAGGGCAGCTGTGTGCTTAGAGAGCCCATCCACTGGGATGCACAGTGAGAGGACAGGGTGCACACAGCAGGGTGTGGATGCAGGAGAAAAAATAATACATATATATATATCAAAGAAGGAATTCTGCCCCTTCATCTGTTCTGTTTCAATATGCCTGTATCAGGTCTTGATCAGTTTAGAAATAAATACCTGGGGTTTAACACAGTCATTTTGGTTGTGGGCCTCTTTTGACTAGGAAAGAATTAATTCAAACGTTAAAGGGCAGCTTAAAATTCCTGTCTGGAAACTGCATCTTTAGCACACTGATGTGATACTTCACTGTGCAGACCAGACTGGCAAGAAGCTCAGATAAAACAGTCCCCATAAAATCAATCTTTCTAACTGGAAAGGGGTAACTGTTTGATCAGGTGCTTTCTCCTTCTCTTCTGTTTTCCTGTTCTTACAAATACAGGCAGCCTTAGGTACAGTATAAATAGTCACAGTCAATTTTATTGTAAAATAAGTGCCACACTTCTTTTACTGGTACAACACTTTCACCAAAAAAGGATTATTAAATAAATACCACAGGCAAACAAACACTTGGTCTCTTCCTACCCAAAATGACTGATTTGGAAAGCTCCTGAATACCCACTCAGACAACACAGGCTAAAACCAATCTATATTGGTTTTTGAAAGCAGAATATATATCCAGAGTGTTTTCTTCATTTCTCCTCTTGAAGAAAATTCATTCTGCAGTGTAGTGAGGAGGAAACATCTCGTGGCAGCCAGGAGGGAATGTCACAGCTGAGTGCAGGCACAGGGTGTGGGGACTGGTCACCCCCCTGCTGATGGGCTTGCCCTTACATCTCCAAAGTTCTGCTCTGCTCCCAGTGAAAGGCAGAGTGGAAGCAACACACTCCACAGTGGTGTCTAATGCCTGCACAGCACAGTCTCCAAAGGTTTCTTAAAAACAAAAGCCTACCAGCTACCTAAAATGAATTCTTTCCTCTATGGGGCATATGGTGGAGGCTTTTCTCCAGGCAAGAAGTAAGTTGGTGTGTAGAGGGCTGGAGCATTGGGGGGAAGCCCATAGCTGGAGCTGGACTGAGATGGAGGCTGAGTTTCTTCTGATAAAGAAATGTCAGTAGATGATGTTCCTGGAAAATTGCTGGCAGGCTGCACAGAGACAAAGAGAAAGTCCCCAGGATTAAATTTCCCATACACTGCAGCACAACACTGACTTTAGTTTTAAAGCCCCTGCTTCAGTACATCAACAGTGGTGTCTGGTGAAACAAGAGGGATTCCATCTGTAACCCAAGTCATTTTTTATGGACATTGCTCACACAGCTAGGTGATGGAGCAGAGCAGGAATTCCTGCAGGAAAAGATGCTCTGGCTTCTCAGGTGAGCACTGACCCTGAGTGGCTGAGGAGCTCACGTGGAGCTGCTCATGTCCTGGCATCCCTGTGAAACTGAAATTCTCTCAGATATAATTAATCCCACTTATAATTGCATAAATGCAAGGTCTTATTCCTGTGCCAAATGCAGATTCCTCTTCAGAGAAAATTTTACAGGTAGGGATGTGTCTCCCTGTAGGTCTTTCACTTTGGCTGTCTCAGCTATAATGGGGCTTTGGCTGAAAAAGGCACAAAAAAATGGAGCCAAGCTTAAGAAGCAGCCCATGTTCAGCAACAAAGAGTTTGTTAAACAAAATAATGTATCTAGGGACTCATATTCCAGCTCAAACCCTATTGCTGACTGCTCTACACCAAGTTCTGTCACTGATTTCAAGAGACTCAGGATTTCACTCTCCTCTCATATGCTGGCACGTGCCAGTCCATGACCTTCATCAGATGAGTTGTTCTCAGCTCCCCTCAGGGCTAAAGTGGCTGGAATTTATAAAACAAAACAAAAACTAGTAACCATGGATCTTTTTCAAGGGAAATGAAAAATCCAGGAAGGTGGATGAAGCCCCTTGACTCTCCAGGAGGCAGTGTAGGTATACTGGCAGAACTGCTTAGCTAGATCAGCTCCAAACATAGTTCTTGTGGGTTTGGGTGTTTGTTTTGTTTTAAATTTATTTTGGAGTTGTTGCTTCCTTACCCCCCACCTCAAACTGGTCCCACTGTTTCCATCTGGCTGCCTGGAATTGCTTCTGCAATGAGTTCTCCTCTGGCAGGGAAGATGGGCAGAACCCTTACTGCTGTCATCACCCCCAGTCCCTGCACAGCTAATCCTTCACCTGACCAGCTAGCAGGCCTGTCACCAGGACAAGCTGTGACTAAACTGTACCAGTAAGGGATGAGCATTCTGTCAGCACATGCCACAGTAAACAAAAGAGATGCTGGTTACCTCCTTGTCAGAAAGCATTCCTGTGATTCCAGCTGGAGCCACAGGCAAACTCAGGTTCATAGCCCTTGAGCTAACAGAGCTCCAGCCCATGCAAGTAAGAGCAGCTTTCAGACTGGGCATGTTGCATGCCAGACTAACCCAAGGTGGGATGTGTTCCAAGAAGGATGAGGAACTGTGGCTGTGGATTTCCTCTGGTTGAGGTGAGGGTTCAGACTCGAATTCTTAGCTGGTAATTGATTGCTAACTGCTTTGTTGCTTCATTAACTGGCATCAGTTAACTTTTTCCCACCCCAAATCTCAGCTGAAGAAGGGGGCAGGTGCAGGGCAATGTGAAGTGCAGGGTCTTGGGAACAGTGTTTAGCCAAGCCAAAGGGAATGCTGAGAAGAGAGGTGTGTCTTGGGGCCCTTTTGTGCATCTTGGTCTATGCTGGAGGAAAAATGTTATGGGTTTTGAGGTGCTGAAGGGCACCTTCTGCCACCTGCTCATGTAGGAGTCTCACATAGACTTTGTCCCACATCAGCCAGCCCTGTCTGGATGGGTCATGAACACTGGGCCAGCCCAGCTGCCACAGTGTTGGGCAACTGAACTGCAGCCCTAGGACATGGGGTTCACCCTCAGATTTTGATGTCTCAGTTGAAGGCTCAAGAACATAGATCCCTAAGTGCACAGCCTAGTGACAAGCAGCAACTGAATCCCACCCCCAGTCAGTGGAAGGGCCTGTAGGGTGCACTCATATCACACACCCCAAACATCTCCATCCTGAGATAAGGTCTGAGAAGTGCCTCACTCACTGTGGGCACTCTGAAGGGGAGGGCAGCTCAGCTGGAGTCTCCTACACTGTGGACAGCTAGTGCTCAACTCAGCTGCCCACATGGAAGTGTCCAGGCTGGGGGCTACCCCAGACATCCACACAGAAGGGACACAGGGACTCCAGGACCTGGCCCCTCCCAGAGTGACAGCAGGGTGCAGGTGGCTACCTGATCCCACCACCAGGCAACACCACAGCCCTTGTGTTTAGCCCAGTGAATCCCAGCCTTAGGGCCTGCAGTTCCCTTTAGGACCAGGACTAGCTGAGCAGGGCTTGTCAAGGCTGAATCCAGTAGCTGGGTGCTGCTTGGAGCACTTAGAAGGGTCATGAAGACCCACCTCCAGCCCACAGCTCTCAAGCAGGATGGTGGTTAAGCTCCTGGCTGCTCCTCATCAAGCCTGCTTCTAACATTCACCATTGTAGCTTTGAGTAAGTTTATGATGATTTAACTCATCTACTGATGCAGAAATTCTCTCCAAAGCCCAACATAATGAGCTCCTACATGCAGGAAGGCAGCTTGCTTGCTTGTTTTTTCCAAGGAAAAGGATGAAGCCCTTTCATTGTTGGAGCCCAGAGCTTCTCACTAACCTCTCCTGGCCTGAGGACAGCTGGTGGTGTCTGCCTCTCAACTTATGGAGGGGAGGGAAGACAAATGAACACAATTCTTAGAAAAAAGTAGAAATCTAGGAAGAGAACTGTGTTTATTTTGGAATGGAGTTAAGAATTTGGGGTAAATATAGTGCTGCTTCTCAGTGGACACAGGACTGGCTGGTTGCAATTGATCTTCATGACTACTTACCTGCATCTCTTCAGCTTCATTGCTGCCTTTTGCCTGTTTCTATCCCCTCCTCTCTCTAGTCTTGGCTATGTGCTACCTGAGCTCTGCAGAACAGCACAGCTTTTCAGCTAAAAGCAAACAAAAAAGAGATCTCCAAGTGTGCTCTTTCTTCAATTCTCAACCCAAGGCCTCCAAAAGGGCCTGGCCTCGTTTAGGTTAATAAGTCAGACGTGCCAAGGACTGTTCCCTGGCTGTGGAGCCAACTGGCACAGCACACATCACATCACTACAGCTGAATTCCAACCACCAAACCAGTGCAGCTCTATGCACACTACCTACCAGGAGAGGACCATTGCCCTGGCCATCTCCTGACCCCTTCCTGGGCATGCTCTGGAGACACTTAGTTGGTCTTGGCCAAACCCATATCAGAAGCATGCTAACAATTCACTGATCATCTCATCATTGTGCCTGGTAGCTTATTGGCCCTGAAGAGATGTAGCCCAGGAGGCTCTGGGGAGCTGCTCCACAGCTAGTTCATGCTAAATATGCAGTGGTTTGAATTAAGAAGTATTGTACAACTTGTGGTACCCACTGGTCTAGCACTACAAACCATTGGATTGAACAGAACAGTCTTACTATGCTTTAAAAAAATCTAAACTCTCTGATTGCTCCAGGGTCTCAGTACATTTGGCTATTTACCAGCTCACTCTATGTTCTTCACCTCACTCTGGGGGCAAAAACCAAACCCAAGCAAACCCCATCCTCAGCACCACTCCCTGCATTTTCCAGGCCAGCTCTGGCTGGCTGCAGCACAGGCTTGGAGAACAAAGGACATGCTGTGCTGCAGGTGATGCCTGAACCTCTTCAACAGCAGCTGATGTTCCCAACCCCTCATTTATACTCTACAACATCCTGTGGCATCTGCATTTTCCCTGGTGTGTAAAAGCATCAGCTATTTCCAGCTTAGCTTTCCACCTAACAGCTTTACTGCAGCAACTAAAACTTTGTGTGATTAGAAGTTATCACTAATACCCATCCACAATCCACAAATTCCTTGCCTGGTTTCAAACCCCCAGGACCAAAAATCCACCACTGCAGAGTTGGTATTGAGTGGCAGATGATGCTTTCCTGGTGGAGTAAGAAGGGTGTCCCTCTGTACTGTACCTGAAGAGGTAAGGGGTAGGATGGATATGTAGAAAGAGCTGCTGCTGAAGGACAGAACCCAGTGTAGGTCAGGATCTGCTGGGCAGGGTTGTACAGGATCTGAGGAGGAGGTGCAGCACTGAAAGCAATTTGGGACAGAGGGACCTGTAGGGCACAGAAGACAACAATACATCAGCAGAGCAGTGAGGAGCACTTGAGGTCCTGACACAAGCAATTGAATATGTTTTCTAACACAACACAGGTACTACAAAACCCCAAGGAGCAGACAGAATGAGAGGAGGGTGTATCTGGAGGGAGTTTTCTCACCAGAAATACGCAGCTATTTGAATCTCCTTCCCTTGGGAAGAGGCTGCTGGTGCTTCCCTAGCACCAGTTCCAGAAGCACTGGCAGGACTCCAGCCCCCAGGCACCCTGAAGAGCACAGCAGGCAGCTCTGCCAGCCTCTTCCCATTCCCTCCAGCACCAAACACCCAGTCCTCCACAACTGGTTGCAGACACCTGATGCCCTCTATGTCTTTTCTCTCTGCTTTCCTACACAGATTTCCCTCTCTAGACCATTTGCTCTTCTTCCACAGCTCCCTCTCACTTGTGGAGTTTGCTGCTGGCTGTCCAATATCAGCCCCTTTATGTGCAGCTCATTCCTCCTTCATCACACCCCGTGGTTCTATTGGCATGTCCCTTAACTGCAGTGTGAGATGAGCTTTGCAGGAAGAAATGTTAGCTCATATTAAACCAGCTAATACAGCTAGGGAAGGGGGAAAAAAAAAACGAGCAAAGGCTAAATGTGAAAAGGGTTTTATGTAACTGTTTGTAAAGGACAGCAGAGCCCTGTGAGAGATTGTCATCTCCCTCTGCTCTGCAAAGGGAGACAAAGCCAGTGGTTTCTTTGCTCTCCTTTGTTTTTATGAGCAGATTCCTCTACATGAGAGCATGGAATTTTCTTCTTACTGAAATTATAAAGTGTGGTCGTTGCCAGACAAATGCTGAAAGCAGCAGCCAGGATTTGGGGCTATTTTTTGGCATTATTTTTTCAGATTTATGAGTGAGAGGCATAAAGCATTCTCTGGAGGCAGTGTGAGGTGTCTCTGGGATTGAGAAAGAGGTGCATCAGTTGTGTTTGTACATGGAAGACATTGTCTAGGTCACTGCTGTACCACAACACCACAGTTCAAAAGCATAGAGCCTGTTTCATGGGAGAAGGCACCCTCCTCAAGGAACACTTTTTTTGCCTAATATCAAACACAGGTGCCAGTTCTGCATCTGTCAGCAGCTTTTTGGTGTACCTGGTCCCTTGGCTTGCTGCTGTCCTTCTCCCAGGAGCCTCTCTCAATCCTCTCATGTTCTCTCCATCCATAGCACCAACGCCCTCCAAATGCTAAAGATGAACATCACAACAGGGCTAGAAGACAGTTTTGGGGAATCATCCACTCCAAATGCACTGATCAAAGCACCTCACTATCAGGCTAGCTGCTCTCAGCCTGGAACCAGCAACAATTTGCAGCTATTGAAGCTGGTTAGATGCTTTTATCAAGTACTCCAGTAAATTAGTCTCCTATAATACAAGGGTAGGTGGAGGCATTTGAAACTGAAACACCACCCAAGTCAGAGAGATAAGGAGCTGTGAACTGGCCAGGGAGTGCTGCCAGTGCCGTGGGGACACCTCAGGTCAGGAGCCTGGGGAGAGCAGGAGGTGGCTGGAGGTGCTGCTGGGCCAGCCCTGCCCTGTCACACAAGCTGTGGTCACTGGGGGCTGGGCTGGGCAGCTGCAGAGCAAGGCAGGGCAGCTCCCTGAGCCAGCAAAAAAAAAGCCAGCAACCCCCCCAGGACCACCAGTAACTCTGCTTAATGCAACCCCAAACTCAGGGCAGGCAGATTCCTGGGCAAGGTGTGTCAGGAAAACATCCACAAGTCATCAGCTGAATACCAGGGCAGGGAAGGGAGTTGCCAATTAACTCCCAGTACCTGCAAGTGAAGTTTTCCATGTGTTTCTTTACCTCTGTCTTCTGTAATAACTAACCATGGTCTTTCAGCATTTTGGATGCTCCAAGAACATGTATCTCACTATACATTATACCTCCATCATATCTTACTCTGTTTTTTGTTCAAGGTGACTTTAAGGCTAGCCTTATCCTAGTCCTATATCCAAGCATGCTGTAGATCTGAAAAGGAAGGTCCCATTGTCACCCCTGCAGCTCTCCCAGCACCCAGCAGATCAGAGGACAGCCCCAGGGGTGAGACACTGAGAGCAGATACCTTTGGGGGTCAGGAGAGGATGAAATGTCCCCCAGTGAGCCAGCAGAGCCCTCTGGCAGGCAGCAAAACCACAGGGAGCGTGCCAGGGTCTGCAGGGAATTTGTCACAGGAAAGAAAACCCTCAAGGACCAAAACAACACTTCTCTTTTTTTTTCTGTCCAGGAAATGTGAGGGGTTCAGAGGCAGCAGCAGTGTTTTGCAAACTCTCCCCTTTGTAATGTGGTTTGGCTGCCAGCGTTCTCCAGAGATAAACACGATGGGTTTTGTTTGCCTGGCCCTGTGTTTTCTGGAAGTCAACCCTGGAGCAATGCCCTGAGGCATTTCAGCAGGCTTTGCAGCTCTCCCTGCAAATGCCAGTGACATTTCTGTGGGAAGGTGACATCTTGAAAGAAAGAAAATTGTTCTCCCACACATTTTGAAGTGTTTTGGCTTTTTCTTTTCTTATTTCAGTCCCATGCCCCTTTCTCTCCCTCTTCTTCTTGCTGTCTTCTTGACCCCCATTTTCCTCATGAGTTACCAATCCAATCCAATCATGAATTGGATTTCCCAATAAATCCAAGCAGCAGATTAGAATGACATAGAAAAACTATGTCATGCAAAAGGACGCTGAAAAAGCACAGGCAGGAGCAAGGAGTGGTCATCACATCTTGGATTGCTGCTTTAGTAACACCTTCACAATCCCAGCATGGCTCTTGTGCTGAGGTTAACTGACACAAAGCCATCTCTCCCTTAACCTCCCACTGCACAGGAGACACCAACCACCTTATTCAGGTCAGGTTTTTAGCTGGAGTCCCCACAGACTCAGCTGCACCTTCACTGCTGCTGTGACTTCCTCACATGGCTTCACTCACAGGTCCCAGACCTTGACACAGGCTCTGCCTCCCAGCAAGGGAACGTGCCAGGTCATGGAGACCCCAGTTCTCCCAGAAACTTCTCCTCCTCCACTTGGCATCCCTCGTGAGCAGTGCAGTGATGTCCACCATGCAGCACAAGGATGGGGCTGGGCTGGAGCTTGTCCTGCTATGAAGCATCAGCCCAAACCCCAGGTAAGCACCAGCTTGTGTGAGACAGAGATGAGGTGGACTCAGGCTGACTTTCTGCACCCTTCCCCACCTCAGGGGAGCAGCAGCAACTCCTACAGCTGCCCATGGTGGAGGCACTTCCACCAGTCTGCTCAGCAGGGGAAAACACCTAAGGGCACTGGAAAGCTGAGGTGTTCTGCCAAGGGCTGGCTGTAGCTGCCTGCCTTCCCCTCCTCATGCAGCTGCTCTTCCTCTCATTCCTCATTCTGGTTGTTTCTGCTCCCCTTCTACAGAAGGGCATCTTCTTCCACAGGGAAGGGATGAAATGAGCTGGGAAAGCTGCTTCCACTCCCTCCTGTCAGACAGCAGCAACTCTTCACTGGCTGCCTGCAATTTGTTAGCACAAGCCCCTTCACACAAAGGACAGCTCAGTTGCACGTTTCTCCCATGCAAAGGCTCAGCTTTTTTGCTGTTTTGCTCAGTTCTGGTTTGCCTTAAGCTGGAGAGAGGAATATTTAAGTTTTGCAACTCTTAAGAGAGGTGAACTTGCAATAATTCCTATGGCCCTGTTCTGTCATGTGGTTTTAAGCATGGAACACGTCCTGCAGATAGCCTGGACATGCTTGCTGGGTGACACTGGGTGGTCTGAGCAGGGCCTGGGTGGCCTCCAGTCTGACTGGGACCTTAGCTCACTGGCTGCCAGCTCTGAGCAGCCTCTTCCCACCAGTCTGTTCCCCTGCTGTACATCACCCACCTCTCTTGCTTTCTCTTCCCAGCTCCATTCCTCTCGTTCTCTTTCTATTAATTTAGTTTTCTCCTCTGGAACATCATGGATCTAAGATGACCTGTGTGCTGTCACACCTCCCTTCAGCCCCTGCATCTCACTTCCATCCCCACACCTCAGCCCATTTAGTTTGGAAGCTCTTTGGGCTGGGATCACCTGCTCTTCTGAATGCCTGGTACATCATGAGCCACTTGGTTGGTCTTTAGGCACTGCTCTAGCAAACACGACCACCAACAGGGATTAAACCCTGGAATAACCACTTCACCCTTCTAACATGACAGAAAATGGGTCCTACAGAATCCCTCCTAGCCCACAGCCTCTTCTGAATGCAGTGGTGGACATCAGCCCAACAAGGTGGTGTGGCACAGGGAGCAGTGAGTGGGTGGCATCCCTCAGTGAAACAACAGAGGAGGACAAGGTCACCTGAATACAACTGTTGAAATAAAAACTTGCCTGCTACTTCAGAGTTAATCCCCATTCTTGGGAAAAAAAACAGGTAAGGTTAAATAGTCACACCTAGGACTTGATTTTTTTATGTCAGCTACAAAGCAGCATCCTCAAGCTCTGTGCTGGGCCACGTGGCCAGTGCTGAATGACAAGGGAAAATAAAAAGTTGTCACTAAGTGCAGCACCAGCATCTGTCCCCACAGAGGCCTGGGTTTTCCCTTCCATTCATGCCTCTGACCACGTTTGACCTACTTAGCTGTGAGCAGCTGGCAACAGCTTGGCCTGAAGACATGACTCCAGACTCCCAGATCACACAGGAAACCTTTAAAGTGCCTCCTCCACACCCTCAACGCTTCCTTGGTTTTAACCCACTTGATAACACCACCAAGCACAGAAATCCTCAAAAAAAGGCAAAAAGGCTGAGCCTTACCATGTCTTTGAATGCCCCAAGAATGGCTGCTGTAATAATCCCCAGAAAGAGCCCGATGATGTTGAGGACTGTGGAGGACCAGAGCAGCCTGTACAGGTGAAGAACATCCTGACAGCTGCTCACACCCAGGAACTCATAGTAGCTGGCAGACTGCTCAGAGCTGAAAGGGAATGCAGAGGACATCACTGCAGCAGGAAAGGTTCTGCACATCAAACAGAGCACCAGAGGGGCTCAATCCCTCCTAACTTCCCTCTTTGGCAAAGTACTTCATCTGTGCTCCCACCAAACACAGCTCAGGAGAACTGGAGAAAGCTCTACTATAGACAACAACTTCTTTGGCTTGGGGTCTCCTCCATGGTCCTAGCACATGGATGCTGCCCTTGTCATCTGGCTACCAGCTAAAGCATGCTTAGCATTCCTTTTTTATTCCCAGCTCACCTGGAAATCTGCTGGCAGCTCTGAAGCTGGGGAGGGCAAGTTGCTTCAGCACTAATTCAACCACAGGAAGGGAGATTTTTATGCCAGCTGGCTGCATTTGTTGATGGTGTCTGTGGTTCCAAATTACCAGAGGCAGCACAGTGCAGTCTAGAGTTGTGCCTTTACATGATGGATGGTCCTATCCAGAAATCTTTGTTTATATTCCTACACTGCCCTGGTAATTGTAAATCAGGCAGGTTATGAAGTCAAGCTTCATTGTCTTGCTGAAAGTCAGAAATATCCTACTGCAAAATTTGAAACCACAGTTTCCTGCAGTTCTTTCCAGTACCTGCCTTCATGCTAGCCCACTAATGAGCTCCTAGAGCAGCTATTTCAGTTGGAAAGATGTTTTAAATGCCAAGACTGTTTTAGTGCTGTTAGGAAACTGCCATCAGGTTATGGTGGAAACCAGAAGTGAGAAGTTTGTGCTCAGTCTTCTGTTCCTCCACCCAAAGCACATGGGGCAGCAGTGGGAATGGAGCTTAGGGGTAACCCTGCTGAGGAAGGTATCAGCGTGGACAAACTCACATTTCTGGGGAGAACCAAGCCAAGCACAGTAATTCCTGGAGATGTCCAATGTTTTGTTGTGGGGCATGGTTCTGGCACTGCAGATCCACTACTCTTGGGTTCATTTGGGGGCTCTCATGAGCCAGCAATTGCTTGACTAAATAAAACTATGGCTTTAGGGGCCATAAGGCTGAGGGAACCTGGGATACAATCCTGCCTGTGCACTCAGCTGTTGCATGGCTCACACCAGGGAACTCTGTGTGACTGTGTCTCCTCCTCCTTCTCTGTAGCCATCCTCTGAACTGGAATTGCTAAGTCTGTAGAGCAGCAAGACTTCTTTGCTCTGGATTTGTTCACGCCAGTGCCAGATAATCTTGCTGTCCACTTTGAGCCTCTTGTGTGCATGCATAGATGCTTCCTCTCTAGTCCCAAATTTTATGTTGCATCCTGAGTTGAATCAGGGTCTGGGCAAGAGCTACTATTTTATGCAGAAGCCTTGTGTAAAAGCCTCATTGTCCCAGCATCACTCCCCTGCACCTAAAATGTTCATGTCTGGCAGCATACTAGCCAAGACTGAGAGAGGATTGGGGTTACTCAGGGCTGCTGGCATTTGAAAAGGAGGAAAGCACAAAATAAAACAGGAGACATAGTAGGGAAGAAAGATGTTTGGTAGGAAAGAAAAAGGATTCATTAAATCCAATGGGAAAACTGCACTGCAAGATCAACAGTAAATCCTGACAGGGCTCTGACTTGAGTGGTCAGTTTTCATCACACAGCAAAGAGCATATAGGCATATTTTAAAAAGAAACTGAAATAATGCCAACACTAATCCACAACCCCTGTGACCTCTTCTCTGCTGGCACCAGGACTCCAGTTGCAGAGGAATTGGATTGCTCAGCATACAAGACCCTGGAAAAATCACCCCCCCACCATTTAAGAGGAGGGATGAACAGCCAAGGATTTCCTGGAGGCCACTGACTGCACAAAGCACTTACTTCTCACAGTTGTACAGGTCACAGCAGTAGCATGTGTTACTCCTTACTTGCAGCTGGCACTTGCTGTTTAATGTATAACATGTCACCTGCCAAAAAAAGAAGAGACTTGACTTTTATTCTCCATGTTTCAGTGTTGCATGTATCATCCTGCTGACCACAAAGACTACTTCAGGGTCAGTTTTTATCACCTGTCGTGCAGGAAGATCCCAAGATTCCAAAATCCACTCCTGCAGGGCAGAAGGACTTCCCTGAGCTTCTAGGAGTTTCATTTGGGACATCAGGACCTGAGTCTCAGGGTTTTTGCACTCTGGAGCCCAGAGACCCCAGCACCAACCTGCAGGCAGGGCTGAGGGAGTTTTCAAGCACTCTGCTGCACTGCCTGGTGCTATTCTGCTGAGACCCAGAGTCTGCAGCTCTGAGATGTGGGTCCCTATGGCTGTGATGTAGGGACCACAGTCTTGAGAGACACCCCACAGCAAGCAACAGAATTGGGTAAGAACACCCCCCCTATTTTAGTGAGGAAAGGGGCAAAAAGACAATTTATCTGAACAGCTCCCAAGAAATGGAGCTCTCTCAGTAACACCCTCCTGAAGAAGGAAATGATCAGGAACAGCAAGAAGAATCTCCAAACCACAAAGAAAACTGCTCAGAAAAGAACCAAGGACTACAGCAAACAAGTACCATTTACTGCAGGCTCTGGAACAGACATCTGAAGAGGTTTATTGGTGTGAGCAGGAATTGCAGAAATCATTTTAATGACTCCTTAAGTGTGGTAAGCATTAATCACTTCTACTTATTATTACAGACTAGTTGAAATATTTTGTATGTAAGTTGGTTTTGTTTGTTATTTTTTTTTTCTCCTGAGACTTTTTAACTTACTGACTTTGAAATCCTGGAGAACTGTCAAGCTTTAAAAGCTGCTAGGTCAAAAAAATGCATTCTTTCTATAGTTTTTATTTTGAGAGAAAAAATGCACTGTAACCACCAAGAAGTATTTTATTGGCAAAGTGCAAATAAAAGGTATTCTTGCATGGAAAATTCCTCATAATGAAAAAGTAGAAGGAAGATGCTTAGGAACACATCTGCATTTGAACAGCTTCTATCAGACAGTCCTGCTTAGCCATGGATGTGTTAGTCTGTGGGACAGACTCCACAGGAGATGTTAAACCAGATGTTTCTCAGCTCCTGAGGTCTGGATCTGTGCATCCTTTTGGGTTTGAAAACTGCTGCTGTTGTGGAGTCTGTACTCCTCACGTGCTTGTTTCCAGGAAAAAAGGAAAGAGAAAGTTCCTCTTGTAGCTGGTCTCAGACCTGCCACGCTTCTCCTTAGCAGGATTTGCTTGAGCAGTGGAAGCTGGGTGACAAAGCTAAAGCTGAAAAGCTAAAATGATGCCTTGGGATTACTCTGCTGCCCAGGCCAAGGTTGTACCTGTGATTAGTGTCTCACCAACCACCTCTTTAACCCCAAATGGAAGTTAGGTTATAAAAGGACAGTCTCATTCTAGGTTGCAATCTGGAAATGGAGCTCACAGCCTGATGCAGACACACACCACTTGTCACAACAGCATCTCACCATGAGACAGGACCTCATCTCATCCCCCCTGTTCTGTTGTGTTTGAACTCACTGGAATTTCACACAGGGGCTTTGCTGGCCTGAAGTCACATTCAGCTGCAGTTCACTGAGCTGCTGGCAATGGCTGCATCTGCTTAATCAAGATCCAGCTCAGGAGTGAATAAAAGATCACATCTGGCCACTTCTTAAAGCAATTTGAGTGTGCCACTGCATCCACTACCACAGCATTTTGCTTTGCACTGGGTGGAACTTAACTCTTTGGGGTTGACCCCCTGTATGCAGCCAAAATGACCTAGGATCTGCATAGTTAAAATACTCTTTTCCCATTCCACCTGCATGGTTGGGATCAGAGGGCTTTGTAAGGTGGAGTGGGCTGCTAAAAAGGTGCTTTGTTCTGAGGCATGGCTTTGGGATAGGAAATAAAACTACTTTTTCCCTCTCCAAGCATCAATGGGGTGAGTTTGGCCCTTTTTACTGTAGAAGGCTAGAAGCACAAAAGAAGGAGATTGACAAGATTTTAAACATGTTTTTAGCTGATTCTGGGCTACAAGATATATTATATTATATTATATTATATTATATTATATTATATTATATTATATTATTGGCCAAGGGAGTTACTGTAGCTGTCTATTTTTTATCATTACATTTTTAAAACATCCAAAGAGCAAGACACTCCTTTTTAGGAGAACAGTGAATAAACCAAAATAAACAAATTACTGTGCAGTGTGAGCAAGGGTGGTGGAAACAGGCCATTTGTGGGTATTCTGCATGTCAAGACCTATTATTTCAATTCACTGACCAGACATTCAGCTTTTTCATGTTCTGGCTGCTTATGCCTGTCTAGAGGAGATGTTCTCACTTCGTGGCAATTGCAAGAAAATGAAATTCTTTCTGCTTTAAGCAAAGAGAAGAATCAAAACAGGCAAACTGCATGAGCTGAAGATCACTCACAGGCTAGAGAGGGCAACCAAAAAGAACCCTGGACTCAGTAAACAACCTGCATTCCTGGTTAGGTGTTCACCTGGCATGCAGAGCACATCCCCTGCTCCCTAGCTGGCTGACTTTGGAAAAGCAAAAGTCAAATTCAAATGCCAGAGATCATTACCTCTGAATTAGCACATGCTGAACCTAGATCACTGGACAACTAGACAAAAAATGTTAACTACACTTTTAAAAGATATGGGAATTCTGCCCAAATAGAGCAAGGAGCTCTGGGTGGTCCAACTTTAGATATTCCCAGAATCTTCAGAGCTGGGGAAACCTAGCCAGAAGCTTGAGGCTCAGGTTCAGCCAGCTTGACTGGCTATGCTCAGTGTGACACCAGCTACACACTTACAACTGGAATCAAAAGCATTTCTTGGGCCATGTCTGGGTCTGAGTGTGCACACACACTTTAGAAAAGATGGAGTAAAAGTTATCACACCCCATAAGTTTGTCTGGGTTGGCCTTCAGGCAAGAAGGTCAATGAACCTTTTGTCATGCATTTTCTGGAATCAACAATGGGGTGCTCTAGAAGCAGGATTTAAGGATTATTAGCTGATTAACCTGGTAATGTACTTTGTGCTCTAGAAGCAGGATTTAAGGATTAACCTGGTAATGTACTTGGCTAAGCTGTCTAGAATTATTAACAGTAACACTCCCCATGCACTTTTTCTTAGCCATGGGAGGAATGGTGATGAAGCACATCTGGCTTCTTGGAGGTTGTATCACTCTTTAGTTGTTCTCAGTCCTGCTCTGCTCCATTTCCTTCTCACTGCCATCAATTTACTAGAATAATAAAATGAAAAATAGGCAAAGAAACTAAATCTGGACTTCTCAGGAGGCCAGCCATTTGAGTACAGGCACTTTTCCCACCCTGTTAATGTCACTGAGATAATAAAAAAGCTGCATTCAAACCACTGACATTCTTGGCCTGTGCTGGATAAATACAGAGAATATTTGAAGCCTTCTGGACAATGCAAATCGATTCATTTAGATGTTTCCTATTCCCCTTGAAGTCTACAAAAACCTTCTTAGAGAAAGATGCCAACGTGACAAATACATTCCAGACAGCTATTATAGAATATAGATGGACTAGGAATCATTCCAGTCCCAGAGTAATGGATTGGATAGGAACACTGATGATGACTCAAAACCTCACTGGCTGTAATGATTTGCAATCATCAGAGGCTTGGGAAAGAGGAGAGTCACTTGTGAGAGAAAAAACAGTGGGGTTTCTACCAACCCATGACCTATCTGCACAGACATGCCCTCACACAGCCACCTGCCCCCTCCCCAGCCCCTCAGAGCACAGCAGAGATGAACATGTGATGAGAGGAGTTAGTTTACCTCTGTCTGGTAGGCATCATACAGGAATCCTACTCCACTTGAATAAAACTGGCATCTTTTGTTGTACAAAGGTCTGGGTTCCTGTAAAGAGAAAAAGAGCCAAAAAAGGACTTAGTGTGGAGGAAGCATGAAGACACTTGTCCCCATGCAAGATGCTTACAGCTCTGTAGAGCTGAAGCCAGTGCAGACCCCTGGGTAAGCTGCCCACACCCCCCTGTGCTGGCTTTCTTTTCAGCCTGGCTCTCCTTAGGGTGACATTTTCCTTCCTCACTGCCACCCAACCATGTGAGCATCATTTATCTTCCTCTGTACCAGTCACCTCTTTTAAGAAGACATCACCCCTGGCATTTCACCACTCCCCTGTTTGATGTCAATAGTCCTGTTCTTTTTCCTGGTACAGTTTCTTACCTAGCACAAAAAATGACTTTGCTATTTGTCTCCAAGATATGTGACTTCCCTTTTTTAAAGGATTTCAACAATGTCCATAGTGAAAATAAAGTAAGATAGATAACACTTGAAGCATTCCACTTCCAAAATTCCACACACTTTGAACCTCCAGACAAAAAAAAGGATTAAGGAATAAATGAAAGCACAAAGGGAAAGTAACTTGCACTGTTTGGTTCTGCCTTATTTTCTGTTATGCCTCTTGGAAGAGATGTGTTTGTTGCTCCTATTTTGCAAGCAACAGGCCCTACAAGCTGAGACAAAGGCAGGACACAATGAAATATCCATGGCCAGGTGGCAGATATGTTTCTGAACTTGGTGGATAAATGGCCACTTTGAAGCCAGAAGGAGCATATCTCAGTCAGTGTCAGGACCAGAACATATTTGCCTAAGGAGGATTTGACAACTGGAGTCCTCTGTGATCAGATGTCCATCCCAAAGCACAGCGTGGGAATGACTTATGTCTTTTTTCAACCTGCTGTTACTTGCCTAGTCCTGATCTGTGCCTTCAAATGCACTCAAGTGCTCCCCAATTTCTCAGTCAGGCCAATTCCAAGAGAGGAGATGGAAACCCACTATCTGCCATGCCTTCTTTCCATGCTGACTGAGCAGCAAAGGACTCCTGAAGTTGCTAGCAGAAATCTATGCTGATTAAATTTCACTGCATTTTAAAGCTTTCTGACCCAGCCAGGAATAACTCTGAAATTGCAGAAAGATCTGTGCTACTTAAGATCACTTCTGAGTACTCTATGCTTCTAGGATAATGAAGTGTGAACTGTATAAATCTGCTGACCCAAAATACATAATCAGTTAACATGCAGAGCTAGGCAGGAATGAAGACAGGTCAATGAATAAAGCTCATTCATCAGCTTGTTTGCCTTTCTGATTACTCTGGCAAACCTAAGGAAGTTTGGACATCAGCTCCCAAGGGTTAGGGCAAGATTAGCCTCCTGCATCCCAAAACATTCATTTCTATTACACAAGTGTAAGAAAAAAATGCTTTGGTAACTCTCTTTCTCTAGGGGAAAAGCAAATACCACACAAACAGCATGTCATGTCTTGGATGAGGACAACACATGAAAGCATTAGCCATGACTTCCAGTAACAGACCTGGCTGGGAGGACTAACAGGATAGTAGTTTCTCTGCTGGCACAGCAATCATAGGATCAGCCAAAGCCTGTGCTGCCCCTATGTCAGAGAATATCATACTCCAGCTTTGGTTTCATCTGTTGCATGGTGGTGAAATGTCTTAGAAGGGGAGTTAGCAAAGGAAATGGCTTTTTCTGCCATGAGGAGCAAATCCATGAAAAAAAATGCTGTCCATTCTGGAAGATGGGCAAGTGCATGGAGCCCAAGTGGTGTTCTCAATCCTGCTGGTGAGGAGAAATGTCTTGAGGAAGGCTAGACAGATCCAGCAGATCCAGAACTGGTGTCAGCAACAAGAATTTGGCTTTTATGAGCATGAGAGCACCTTTCACGTTCAAGCACTTCTTGGAAGAGGTGGGATCCATCTGACTAATCAAGACAAAAGCATTTTTTGTCTACAGTCTAGTCAACTGGTGATGAGAGCTTCAAATGTGGAACAACAGGGGAGGAAGATGAGGAACAAGTGAGGAAGCAGTGGACCAAGGAGACAAATGAAGTGAACAGGACAAGAGAAATTCAACACAATAGGGCTAAACAAGGCCCACTTCAGGTGTGTGCACATGGAAAAGGAAGCACCCACAGAACAACACAGGGAAAGCTCTCATCCCTCTCCTGGGATACTCAGCACAGTTTGGAGTGGGTGCACACTAACACACACAGCCTGGAGAACTGATAGTTTGAGGTTTCATGCAGTGCCAAGGCTCACTGGGATCTCAGAGACATGGTAATTGGCTCACAGGGCTGGAATGCTGCCACGGATGGATGGATACAGGTTTTTTAGGAAGAGCCTGTAGGATGGTGGAAAGGGAAGTTGCCCTATGAGAGAAAGCAGCAAGAATATTTGTAAATATGTAGCAAACCAGCAAAGGTTTGGTACCATTGATTTGATCCAGACACCCACAGAACTCCTCTAAAGCACACAGCTTTTAAGCAGAGATACACTTGAGATGCCAAAAGGTTTCAGTGGTAAAAGCTTCTGTTTGAATGAGATACTCATGCCACAGAGGTGCTGTGGTCTGGCTCTACTAAGGCATTTATGTGAATAAGGCACCACAGAGACATTTAAAAGTGTTCAAAAATTATCCAGCATTCTGTCACACTGCATTAGCACCCACTGGATTTCACAGGCCTCTCAGATAAGAAAGGTAAATGAGACATACTTCAAAGCTATAAAAGTATTCCTGACACACTGCTGCTAAAATGCTTCATATTTTCATCCTCTTCACTGCAGACTGTGTATGAATATAGGATATCTACCAGTCCTTGATCCTACTTAATTCTACTGCTTATAGCAATCCTGGTACAGACAGATCTACTTTTACATACTCATTTTCTAACTAGATATGTATTCCACCTATTAACAGAGACAGATCTACTTTTACACACTCATTTTCTAAGCAGATATGTATTCCACCTATTAACAGAGACAGATCTGCTTTTACACACTCATTTTCTAAGCAGATATGTATTCCACCCATTAACAATTGCTCTAAAGTATATCACAACAATATCCTGTTTGACTAATTTGACAGCCTTTGATAGCAGGAACTTCCTCAATCACTGCTAGTGGAGGAGAACTATGCAATACCTCCCACTAATGCATTAATCTATTAATATATTAATAAATAATGCATTCCCCTTCCCTGATTTTTCAAGTAATCCTCTTTAACTGGAAAAGGGCAGATGGGAAAGAGCTGTTGGTTAGAGCTCTGCTGATAGGTGCAGAGGACAAGTAACAGTAGCCTGGCAAAAAGAGAGAATTCTGTATAAAAATGTAGTTGCAGGCTTGAGTTTATTAATTGATGTAAAAGAAAAATGGATGGGGTTTATTCCATCCTTCTGAGCACCAGAAAAAATGACTTCTCAGCTAATTAGGTATGTGTGTTTGTACACAATGGGCAGGTACAGTCAAATTGCCATCAGTCTAAGTGTAGAAAGTTTTCAGAAGTGTGAAGAAAAAAACTGGACATCCAGTAGTTCCCTTTAATGTCAATTAAATTTGAAATTTAAACAATTTTAAATTTTAATTAAACTGGAATTCCTCAGCCTTGAACTCTACAGGCTGAACTGTAACTTGCCCTGCACAGGTTTTATTTCAGTATTTTTTCTTGTATGTGTATTAGAACTTGTGAGTGATGAACATACAGCAAGAAGGGAAGGCTTTATGCCAAGGAATAGAAGATTTGGTCCAAATATAGAGGGTTTTGGTTTGGTTGGTTGGTTTCTTTTAAGAGCATATAATAAAAAAACCCCACATTCTCTTTGATGGCAGGAACATTGCAATACATTTGTGTCAGGAAAGTATTCTCTGAAGAGTATCTTTGGTGCATTTCATACAAAGTCTGTGGGGAGGAGATTGTACAGCTCTTAACTGAGGTATGGAAAGTAGATTTTTTTCTATTCCAGATTTTGTTCCCTTGGAGAACACATATATTTTCAATAACACAGGGAAAAATTCCATCTCCCTTATGTCTAAGTCCACTTGCTGAAAAATGAGATATACCATAAACTGTATTGACTGAAATTTATGCCATACTTTACAGACTCAAAACATGGCTAATAATTTATTGAAATTATATAGTGAGGGCTATTTTTTCCAATTACAGTATTTATTTAGTCTTAGCTTCCATGGCTGCATCAATAGAAGTGTAGATTAATCAGTGCCAGGGAATGTTCCCAACCCTGAAACTCGATCATCTAGCCCATTAAATAGAACTGTGCCTGGGATGGCTTTGGCCTAGGTGAACAATTGCTCTTCCAAAACAATTTCTGGGTTTGGTTTGGAAATTAGCAAGGGCCAAGAACCATTCCCAGTAAGTCATTTGGACATTGCCATGCTGCCTGTGACTCCTCAGAGACTTTAAGGACATGAGCTTCACCATGCCAGTTGGCCTGGGGACCACAGAAAGGTCCTGGGCCTATGTAGAAGATGAATATAAATAAAACTGAGGAGCCCCAAACCAAGCTAATATTTTCAGTGGGTCATTAACTTGAATTTTCTCATTTTTTTTGTTTTCTTCCTGCAACATTTTTGTAGGTCCTTTTTGTCTACAGCATAGCTGGCAATGAATAGGAGAGGAAGCTGCCAAGATTTGTCAAGTTTAATCTTAAAAGCAAACCAAAAGCTTTCAGTGCCAGCTCAGCCCTGTGTCAATAGCTGGGTGTTCTGGAGATTATCACTCCCTTCAAGATGAGGCTTTCTGCTGAGAGCAGGCCTGTAGATGCTATTAGCAGCTAGCTTTTATGCTTCTCTGGAGGGTTAGATGGAGCAGAGGTATTGGTGTCTGAGTCACAGGGACTATCTTTGAGCACATGGGAGCATGCAGACACAAGGACTTTCAGAGCAAAGACAGAAGAACCTCATGAAAGAGGGTGCCAACATATTAGGAGGCAGACTGGATCACTGGCTGGGGACCTGAGCTGCAGCTGATTGGATCCCACCCTGTACAAATAATGAGAGGAAATGCTACAGATCTTTTGTCATTCCTGCC